TTTTTTCGTTTTAGAGATATTAAAGTTTTTCTATTATGCAAATTAGATCAGTTGTTTCAACTTTGCAGGATTTGCGGCGCTATCGTTAAGAATGCTTATCTCAAGCAAAAAGGAAACTTGATTTGTGTAACCACCGTGTGCAAAGCACTGGCCGCACTGAGCGTTGGTTCTCTCAGCCGTTAACAAAAGGGATAGCAGCCGGAAACCTTATTTGTAGCGGTGGAATCCTGTTTACTGGGAATCACTTCATGAAAGTTAGTGTTCTCGTGAGTGCATGCAACATAAGATTTTTGAGAAAGGTGCTTGTTATTATATTCAAAGGAAATACCTCTGGCCAGTGGTGAACAACCATTACATTGTCCAGCAGAGAGAAATTCTTCAGTCATTTAGAGGACAACTTCTAATGCTTGCCGGTGACGGACGATGTGACAGTCCTGGTTACAGTGCCAAGTATGGGACGTACAGCGTGATGGAAGTGACGACAGAAAAGATCGTGGATTTTTCCCTTGTGCAGGTATTTGAAGTTGCCAACTCCAATGCTATGGAGAAGGAGGGGTTGAAAAGGTGCTTTGAATTCTTAGAAAGAGATGGTCAAGAGATCGACTTGCTGGCAACAGACTGGTATTTATCTTTGACTAATGGCAGGTGCCTAACTATAGCTAAAAATGATCCAAAGCGTAGATCTACAAATCAGAAAAGCATGCCGTTAAACAGTCTGAAAATAGCTATTTGTGCAACATTATCCAGATTTAACTCGCGTAAATTGATGAAACCTTCAATATACCACATTTTCTATGGGTTTACCGCCGTAATAACCTACTTAAGATGCTGGGACATCACTCGAAAAGTATATAAATCACGAGCCCACGGCGAGTGATTTACAATCTTTTTGAGTGTTTTTCCAACATCCCAAGTATGTAATTACGCCGGTAAACCCATAGAAATTGCGGTCTATTGCTGTTAGAGATAATGTTTCGAAGATAATTTTACATAACTACATGTATATGTTAACCACACAAGCAATTTTTTTCGCTTTGTTCGGTGCGCTGTGCTTCCAAATTGTAATATCTATCGCGACCTGTAAACTGAACTAAATTATGTAAAACGTAATATGATTTTCCTTCCGTGTTAATGTACTCTTTATCCGATGGAATACTACATTAAAAGAGTGGGAAAACGTCACTGCCACTATAAAAGACTCGAAAAGACATTTAACCTATCGACGTTTTATTTTTGATATGCAGGCATCTCCAAGTTGTCGCAATGATGAGAGCGGAAAAGGTCCACATCAAACACAGATTCGGTCCATGGCACTTGACAAAGTCCGTGCACAAAAGTATTGCTGCTGCGTCCAAGAAACGCGAATGCGGTGATCTATTGCCATGGACCGCATCTGTAGTTAATCACTTGTGGTGGTGCGCGGCAACTTCTGATGAGGATCAACTGCTTTGCCAAGAGAAATGGAAATCAGTCGTTTACCACGTGGCTGACGTACACGAATGGCCTGATTTCCAATTATTTTCGGCTTGCGACCATGATGAACTTACTAATGAGCAGAGAAGAAACAAAGTATGGCTTCCAATTGGATCTCCTGCACACAACGCTCTGAAGGAAGTGGCATGGAAACCTAAGCTCCAGAAGGATATCCGTCTCCTGGCTGATTTAGTTCAAACCGGATTTTTAGAGGTGTTCCATGGCTCAATGGCAAAGAAATATGTGAATAGGTAGCAGCATTATTCCTACAACGGGATGGTTAGCAGAACGGAGCTTGCTGTTATTGATCACAACTGCAATGTGGGGAGAGGGGTGGCCACCACCACTTCTGGAGATGAGCGCTACAAGTGGGTCTATCCAAAGCTACAGAAACAGTGGGTGGCGAAGCGCATATACTAAGACAAGTCATATCAGTTTGTCCACGCTCTTCTGAGTGATACCATTTTACTGAAGAAGGGGGAGATTGAAGTTCCCGACCTTGAAAGGCCACACCTTCCATAAAATATTGCACCAAATCCCCGTGGAAACAAAGAAGACATCATTGCAATGTATGTGTCAAGACTTCAATAACAATTTTTCTTATTACAAATGACAAGGTATTGTTATATGGTACCACACTATAAACAGTCTTTCCTGTGAATTTACTTTTACATTTTTACGTTCAATTTGTTTCAGGGCTGCATGAACGAATTGTTGTGATTAAGAATTTTTTTTGAACAATGAAACAAATTAGAGCCGGAATGCTAAGCCAGCCTTAGTGACTGGATCCTTAAAGCCTGTGTAATTGCCATCAGCTTCTGGGAATTCTTTTCTTATAATAGATGCAACACATGACGGAATAATTTTTCTCTCTCTCTCTCTCTCAGTCTACCGTATATCCACCACACATACTGTCTGTATGCTGCATAGCGACAGTTTCTGAAATACGCACCACAGTATACGTGTAGAATGGTTTATGCTATTTTAAAAATAGAAATAGGTCCTAATTTCTTCAAGTTATAAAGATTTACATCTTTCATATCTTCTAATGTTTAAGGTGCTTGCAGCTATGTGACATGCAACTTTCAGAAGAATTAATAGCCTTTACTGTACTGTCTACCCGAGTTGTAAACATGTTATAGACTGTCAACAACTTCAACTGTTAAAAGCAGAACTTCAAGTGACCATTTTTTGAAGGATAATATTGCTTCACATAATGAAATAAAGACCACAAGGCTGTGATGTATAATTTTTGTTTGCTGCGTTCTTGATGATAAATATTAATAAATATTAATTTATACGTATACATTTCTTACCGGTTCTATATGGGTGAGGGTGCTGGCAATCTGTTTAAATAATGGAACCCTGTAATTGCTGTTCTTAAAACAGCCCGATTTAGGCATACGATAGAAAACTCTTCGTGGTCTGTTGTACAACACATCCCTGTTTCGCAAGTGAAGTGACCCCAAATTTAATTAGTTTCGAACAAAAATCCCTGTTTATAGGACACGTTCTGTGGAATTTATAGCTAAAAAAACCTTCTTTACTGTCTATTTACGATTGAAACACACACCATTTTCTACGATTGCTCACTCCTTGTGATAAAAACATATCAATGACTATTGACAAGCCAAGTAGGGACTAATTAAAAACTTTATTAACTCAGGTATGAAAATGATAACACATGTCAGGTCATGGCAATGCTCATTTCCGAGCGGGGCTTTTTAAACTAGGCTTAATCAAGGTAATTTGATGCTTAATTGACTGTGCATTGAAAGGGCGGAAAAGTACAAAATTGATAATATACCTTCCGCAAACTTGTTTTCCGAATGATGGCAAATATCTACAATGAGCAACAACAAATTTACACAATTCTAACATGGATAGTGAGAGCCATAACTGAAGTTCTGAATGGATTGAATGGACGCATTCATAAACTCTTATCTTGGCTCAAAGTCTATGTGGTAAGCTTTCAGTTTCCAAAAATAAAGTTTACCTCGGGGCATAGGATTTTAAAGACGGGCTAGACTATTACGAGTATTAAATACAACCAGCAATCACTTCAATTTGTTTCCTCTTTCATTTTGAACTGATCACAGCGAGTCGGCAAAGGACACGAGTCACTGAGGTGAACTAAGGGGACCAAAGTAGACCTCAGAGTTTTAATTTTTTAAATTTTTTTATTCAACACATACACAAGCCGGAACAGAGCTAGAGACAGATGAAGATGCATCTGTGTTAATTTTGGAAATAACTTTCTCACGACTTTGAACCCAATATTCACTAGACGTTACCACTGCTGCCGTGGACTGATATTTTTTTTCAAAACTCGCTAAGAAATTAAAATAATATGTTGCTTTGTGCACTCATCAGCATTGTTTCTCAGAAAAGCTAATTATGTGGCTTGAATGCTGTAGAACGTCAAGTGAGACCAACTGGCGCCTTGATTGTCTCCCAAGAATTCAAATTTATCTTCTAATATGATGCAAGAGTTCACAATCAGTAAGGTATTATCATTGCCCATTCTGAAATGTTGAATTGGAAGAATATCATAAGAAAGATATAAGAATCTATTTCGTGAAAATGTCTGGTCTTTAAAGAACAAAAACGACAATGGAACTGAAGTCTAGGGATATTGTGGCCAAGTTCATTGTTTTAACTATGTGATTGGTATACAGCAATAAACTTCATGAAAATAAATTCAAAATTCGTTTCAAATGTTTTCATACTGTCAGACGATGAAAGAAAGCAGAAATAACCGGATCTAAAGTATTAATACATCACATTACTAAACGAGTTATTCAACTTATCGAATTTCCCAGAAATAACGCGGTTCGTGATTCAGTTCCATTCTTTGAGCCAATAAGTTACCTAAAGCGGCTTATCGTAAAGTGACAGCATTGATTTAAAACTCCATCGAAATATCTTTCTTTGCTGTGAACAAATTTGTTTTATCTATACACACAAAACAAATTAAGCTGCTAATTTTACTTGCACAATACAGCACCGTAGCTTCGCTGGCCAAGATCGAGAACAGTTCCAGCCATGCAAGGGTTTCCATGATAAAGATTGATGGTCTTGACCAAGAAGCACGAATTAGGCTTCGGGTATAACGATAGGTCAGTTATTTTCATTGAGACAGTAGAAAGATATATCGGCTGTGGATGTAATTGAAAATTGTCTTTAATTTAAATCTGTAAGGCCAGGCAGAAACTGTGAATCGTTCATAAGGTCTGGTTAAAATCTTGACAGACAAGAAAACATCAGCCAATTTGGCTGCATCACGTTTCCCTTTGAAGTGTTTTTACACAGTTATATCACATTCATTTTCACTGAACGATTAGAATCGATCAATGAATAGGATTCCCGGAAAGCCAGACTATCAGGAGAATTAAATTCGTCAAAAGACACCTCAATTTGTTTCTCTTTCATTTTGAATTTGTCACAGCAAGCCTTCGCAAATGACCGCACGAGTCAGTTGAACTAGCTAGTTGGAGCAAAATGAGCTTCAGAGCTTTAATGCTTGAGTCCAGACGTGCACAAGAACAGGAACGGATGGAGATGCATTTGGCTTAAAACTAAGATCTTTGATTTACCTAGCTATGTTGTAGCAGCGCGGTTCTTGGAATTTCCAACCAAAACAAATGTTTATAAGTGAACATGCCATTCCAATTTCGACGTGAAAAGGGAATAACTCAAGCCATCAGCTAATGAACGTATGCCTCTTCTCGGTTTTGTTATCATCAATGTCTACTTTCATCTAAACTGGACTGAATTCACCAAACCGGATGAAAATACTTCTTGGACTATTGTGAAAACAAAGGAAGACTGAAAGGTCTGGTTCTCCTGAGCGATTTTTAATTTTACTCGCATCGGGCCACATCTCGCTTGTTTTAGATGAAACCAATTCAATGTTTATTAATTTACAGTCGACAACCGTTAGTCACTGTAGAGAGAGTAAGGTTAAGATAAGCTGAGAATAGTGAGCGGACTTGATAGGGAAATATCGCTCGACTTTCAATTCCTTTGTGGCCTTGAGGCAACTTCAAATTCCCAGAAAACTAAATTATCAAATCCTTTAAGTTCTGAAGTTCTTATATTGAACTGAAAGGCATCATTAAAAAAGCCTTCTTTTTACCGAGTTCACCTCTCTTATCAAGTCTGTTCCCCCGTTCTATTTCTCTGTGAAATCTTGGTCCATTCTTAAAACAGTGAAAATATCATGCAGTATGACTTTCTAATCGGGACCGAAGGATGGCCGCATCGGTAAAGAACCCGAGGTTAGAACTGGTCTTTACCGGTCTGTAGCAGTGTATTTTCCTGCTTATTACGGTCTTCGTGTCCTAATCAATTTTGGAAAGTAACTAACAAAAGATCTGAGAGAAACTGATAATAAAGTGCTCAGATTGGTCATTCAAAGAAAATCGTTCGATAACCATCTTGCTTCAACTTGAAATTTCTTCACGCAGGAAATTCAGCATGTGCAGCGTTTATACTAATGAATCGTACTGGCATTTCTATAACACATTAGTCAGCTGCCGGAAATAAAAGTCTGTTAAGTAAGTCGGAAGGAAATGCACCTTAGCCTTCATTACGATCTAGCTAGATCATCGGAAGTGCGCGGACCGGAACAATTGCCTCTTTTAATAGGACCTAAAAACCCAAGATTTGTTTGCTGCAACATTGCCCACAACTTTAACCGCCGTTTTTTTTTTGTTTTGTGTTTTTTTTAAATATGCAGTCATAGCAAACAAACTCACCTATACTTTCGACTTATCCACCAGGACAGGTAAGACTCGATGACATCAACCTGCAAGTTGTTGTGGACTGATGGCGAAGGATGCGCTCAGTTTATTCCGTTTCCAATCAAGCAATTGCGTATGTCTGTCAACCAACGCCTAACCTTTGTCCTCAACTTGCCAATCAGTAAACTAGAATTATCATGAGCAAGCTTAGTTAAGCAGGTTTTATTACGCTTGACGAGCTTTATTGTGGACGACCTCTCTTAGATTTGTCTTGTCTTTGATTACTTTGTCTTTGCTAATAAAAGTGTTGTTTTAACGTCAATGTAGTTCTTGGAGTTTTGACCCAAACAAACTTCATGTCTTCGCGATCTTGCCATGGGGTTACGGCATTTAAAACGATAACTGAAAAACAAAGAATTAAACATCTCTCTTTTGGTGTTTATTGTTGTTAACTTCAATTTCATTCTTATTTTTAATACGTAAAAAGAAATCAACAGAGCGTTGACAAAACTTCCAGCGTGCATAAATAATGTCAAAACGAACAACGATTAACAGGTTCTCCTAGACCTGCTTGTTTTAGTAGAAATTAATGCAATATTTCTTCATTTGCAAAGATCGACAGTTAATTTTACTTAATTTTACCCAGAGAATACCAAGCACACTTGATGGGAAAATATCACGCGCGACTTGCCTCTGTGCAATGCCTTTGTGCCCATGAGCCAACTTCTAATTCCTAGAAAACTACGTAATCAAATCCCTTAAGTTTTGAAGTTTGAGAGCAAAAATCCTTCTTGATAAACGCCTTCATTTTCCGAGTTCATCTCTCTTGTCAGGTCTCCACTGTTGCTTTGACTTGGTCCTTAGCTCATTCTTAATAGCTTTAAGCGCACGGATGATATGCAGTATAAATGACACTGCTATAGTTGTTTCTGACACGAAATCTCAGCAAATTTATTCAAACTTTTGCCAACTTCCAAGAATGTTCTGGCCTAGACATAAATAAAAGTAAAACTGAACGCATGTGGTTAGGTCCAAGTCGCAAAAACATAGCAAAACGCCTTGGAATTCAGTGCTTGGCCAGCCAACTCTATACTTGTACTGGAAATTAATATCTCCTATAATAATGAAATTGCTTACAACATAAATTTTTTGAACAGAAACTAATCAAAATGAAAGACCTCCTTAACTTGTGGTATCCTAGAAACCTTACATTTTAGGGCCGCATAACGATTCTAAAGTCCTTAGCGATTTACAAGCTCGTTTATAACACATCTGTTCTAACTTTTTCATCAATGAGAATTCACCGCCACGGTAAATTAAGCAATTACATAGTTTTTAGGAATAATAAAGCTAAAATTAAACACAGAACAATATTAAGGCCGAAAGAGCAAGGAGGGCTAGACATGCCAGATTTTCAAATAGTCAATGATGTCCTTAAGGCATCAGTCACAAATAAATATATAAGAAAACCACCTATTGTAGCTACCGTTCTGCATGGAAGTAATGTAAGATATTAATAAATTGTAAATAATGTTAGCATAATATTTGTAAGTTTTGTTAGTATTGTGAAATTTTAAGTTATGTTGGCACTGTAAGTAGAGTATATAATTTTTGTATGTAATGTAATGTTATTGTTGCAATAATAAAAAATATATGCAATACAAATTCCTAATTAGTTGAAATTAAGACCAAAGAATGTAGGCTTTCGCGTCAGTAAAAACCCCGTTCAGATATGGTATTCACAACTTTGGTTGCATGAAACCTGAATATAGCCTCGCAGAGAACCTTTTCACCTTATGACTAATGTTTATCAATGCATTATACTGGTTATTATGATTTGCGTATATTTATTGACTATAGAAAACAAACAAAAAATGAAGAGAATGCTTGATTGTATGGACTTGTTCTGCTGTAGCCCGCCCGCATAAAAAGAACTGCGTAGTCATCTTATATCTACTCACCTCCTTTTCTTTCGACCACAGAACAGTTAACACTTAATGGAACCAATTTGCACGCTGTTTAGAGCTGATGTCAAAGGATGCTTATTGTTTACGATTGTCGGGATTGCGCATGTCCGTCAGCCAACGCCTACGCTTTGTTCTCAACTAACCAATCAGTCACATTAAAATAAATGCCCTACCTGAATACGTCAACACTGCTTGATATAAGAAAAGTAATAAAAATGTTAATGAAAAGTACACACGTTACGATGTAATTAATCACGATTTCGCTACAACTTTGTGACAAAAGTTTAATACCTTTTGAAACATGTTTGTTATAACTTTGGAACCGATATTCTCTAAACTTAGGATAAATGTGATGTGCTCTATGCACTCTTCAACATTGTTTCTCAGATAAGCTTATTATGTGGCTTGAATGCCTTAGAACTTCAAGTAAGACCAACCGGCGGCTTGCGTGTCTTCTAAGATTGCAAATTTTTCTACTAATAATAATTTGGATGGGTTTTATAGCCTTTAGATTACGAAGTGAAATTATTGGAGCATTCCTGAGAACCATTAATAGAAGGGCAAGACCAGTGTCCTTTCTGAAAGAGCCTAACTGTTAATTATAAACGACAATGGATCTGAAGTATTGCAATATTGCGGCCAAGTTAGACAATGTTTTAACCGATAAACTACAGGTAGAATAGAGAAGATGGAAAGCGATTCAACCTATCAAATTCTCCAAAAATAAATAAAGCGAAACTTCAGATAAATCAAAGGGTTTAGATTCTTCATTCAAAAAAAATCACGACTGGATATATAAAGCCGTCTTGCCATAATCATAACTTGAAATTCTGGCAAGCAGGGGCAATCAACACGCGCAGCGTTTACATCGTTCACTTCTACGACACGTTGATCAGCTACATGGAAATGATATGTAAGTTAGGAAGAAAACTCCTACGACTTCGTCGGGATCTAACTAGATCATCGAAAGTACGCGGAGCCATTGCTTCTTGTAATAAGTTTCAAAACGCGTGAATCTATTGATCTGTTCAGCAACACTGCCCAAAACTCTGAACATTTTTCAAAAAAGTGCGCACCCAGTCTAATTCCAGTTTTGATCTCAGTAAATTATGCATGAGATGGCCATAAGCAACGCACGAAGTTAATATTTAATGATTTCTTAGAAAGGCCAGACTGTTTACAGAGGCATTTTGTTTCACTGAACCCAGATTCTCGGAAAACCGACACGCGTCAGTTGCGCCAGTCAAAACAAACACTTAGCTACTAGATTTGGGGCCTTAAAATTTTTTGTGTCAACAAGCGTACAAGAACTGGACGTGCGGAGGCGATGCTAACAACTGAGGCCATAGATTTACTCAAAGATTAACGTATTCTTTAGGTTCGAAGTACATTATAAATGCATACATCCTTGATACGAGATCCAAAGGGCACTTTGAAAAATTTCCCGGAATCGAAACTACATTAACCGGGAATATGTTTTAACGCGGGCAATAATCTCGGATCATGGACCAAACCAGTTCAATTGAACTGAGAGTTATACCCTTTAGAAACACTGTGCATATCATAAAAGAGGAATGTGTTTGTTTTAACTAATGTNTACCTCGGGGCATAGGATTTTAAAGACGGGCTAGACTATTACGAGTATTAAATACAACCAGCAATCACTTCAATTTGTTTCCTCTTTCATTTTGAACTGATCACAGCGAGTCGGCAAAGGACACGAGTCACTGAGGTGAACTAAGGGGACCAAAGTAGACCTCAGAGTTTTAATTTTTTAAATTTTTTTATTCAACACATACACAAGCCGGAACAGAGCTAGAGACAGATGAAGATGCATCTGTGTTAATTTTGGAAATAACTTTCTCACGACTTTGAACCCAATATTCACTAGACGTTACCACTGCTGCCGTGGACTGATATTTTTTTTCAAAACTCGCTAAGAAATTAAAATAATATGTTGCTTTGTGCACTCATCAGCATTGTTTCTCAGAAAAGCTAATTATGTGGCTTGAATGCTGTAGAACGTCAAGTGAGACCAACTGGCGCCTTGATTGTCTCCCAAGAATTCAAATTTATCTTCTAATATGATGCAAGAGTTCACAATCAGTAAGGTATTATCATTGCCCATTCTGAAATGTTGAATTGGAAGAATATCATAAGAAAGATATAAGAATCTATTTCGTGAAAATGTCTGGTCTTTAAAGAACAAAAACGACAATGGAACTGAAGTCTAGGGATATTGTGGCCAAGTTCATTGTTTTAACTATGTGATTGGTATACAGCAATAAACTTCATGAAAATAAATTCAAAATTCGTTTCAAATGTTTTCATACTGTCAGACGATGAAAGAAAGCAGAAATAACCGGATCTAAAGTATTAATACATCACATTACTAAACGAGTTATTCAACTTATCGAATTTCCCAGAAATAACGCGGTTCGTGATTCAGTTCCATTCTTTGAGCCAATAAGTTACCTAAAGCGGCTTATCGTAAAGTGACAGCATTGATTTAAAACTCCATCGAAATATCTTTCTTTGCTGTGAACAAATTTGTTTTATCTATACACACAAAACAAATTAAGCTGCTAATTTTACTTGCACAATACAGCACCGTAGCTTCGCTGGCCAAGATCGAGAACAGTTCCAGCCATGCAAGGGTTTCCATGATAAAGATTGATGGTCTTGACCAAGAAGCACGAATTAGGCTTCGGGTATAACGATAGGTCAGTTATTTTCATTGAGACAGTAGAAAGATATATCGGCTGTGGATGTAATTGAAAATTGTCTTTAATTTAAATCTGTAAGGCCAGGCAGAAACTGTGAATCGTTCATAAGGTCTGGTTAAAATCTTGACAGACAAGAAAACATCAGCCAATTTGGCTGCATCACGTTTCCCTTTGAAGTGTTTTTACACAGTTATATCACATTCATTTTCACTGAACGATTAGAATCGATCAATGAATAGGATTCCCGGAAAGCCAGACTATCAGGAGAATTAAATTCGTCAAAAGACACCTCAATTTGTTTCTCTTTCATTTTGAATTTGTCACAGCAAGCCTTCGCAAATGACCGCACGAGTCAGTTGAACTAGCTAGTTGGAGCAAAATGAGCTTCAGAGCTTTAATGCTTGAGTCCAGACGTGCACAAGAACAGGAACGGATGGAGATGCATTTGGCTTAAAACTAAGATCTTTGATTTACCTAGCTATGTTGTAGCAGCGCGGTTCTTGGAATTTCCAACCAAAACAAATGTTTATAAGTGAACATGCCATTCCAATTTCGACGTGAAAAGGGAATAACTCAAGCCATCAGCTAATGAACGTATGCCTCTTCTCGGTTTTGTTATCATCAATGTCTACTTTCATCTAAACTGGA